GGGCACGCTGCTGGCTCATGGTTAACCTGTCGTCCACCAGGACACCCAGGAATTCATTCCCGTCTCCTGGAGAAGCAAGTAGCAGCTTACTAAAAACCTTCAGCAGAGATGCTACCCACTAGGAAAGACTTTTTTAATTAGGAGAGTAACGAAGACTAAAACACCAAGGGGAAGAAAACGAAATCCTTCGTTTCAGGAAAGGCTGTTCAAGCAACAACACCACAGCCCAGCAGGCACCAAGGACGAAGGCAAGGAAGCAAGAAGCTTTTGCCCAAACCAAAGCGTCTGTTTTCAAAAAACGGAATCCAAGCCCAAATAAACTTCACAGCAGAAAAAATTACGACAGATCAAGTATGCCGCGGGATTTCAAAGTAGGAACTAAGGGGAAAGATTACGCTGCGTACACACCCGTGAGTGGGACTGGTAACTGGAGATCAGCGCTACCTTCAAAAACCAACAACAAAACAACGAAACTCCCCAATAACGACGACAATAATAACGACAATAACGTGGTTAGAACCAGGAGAGAGAATAAAAATATGCTGGAACCTGCAGAGCCCGCCACACGAGGAAAACAGCAGACAAATGGACTTTCAGGCTGTAGAGGCACGAGTGGGGGAGACGGACAACGGAAGGGCACAGGTAACGAGCGGACACGTTAGATTGCCATTTTCCAATTAATTAAGCAGTTCCTAGTCAGCCACTTCTACCACAGGTGAAAAAAAGCATTTTGGCAAAGTGAAACACAGCAAAATTGAAAATGAGTAAGAGGAAGTCTCCTGTGCAATGCACAACTGGCCTCCTGTTACTGAGGTCAAGTGCTTTTAAAAAAATAGATAAAAAGCGAGACCTGGCGTACATATGAGTGACAAAAATCCATAAACAAGTTCAAGACAGCTTTTGCAAATTCTTCTGTGGTTTGGTGACGAACAGCAGGCAACAGTGCACGTCAAGAAAGCGCTGGGCAGTGAAGCCCGTTCAGGGGGGTGTGTGAATCCCACCCACCCCCACACAAATCACGCCAGATCTCCAAGGTTTCGTGTATTCTGTTCACTACTCCGCACGCCATTTAATCGCTGCGTTTCTCCCGGCTCAGGTAAAACAATCCTGCTTTTGTTCCCTGTGTCAGCTCAGGTCTCGGCCGTGCAGTGCCTGCGGGGTGGCTGGGGCGTGGGTGGGAAGAGGAGGAAATGATTATTCATTAGATATCGCTTTTCACATTCCCTCTCAGCCCCGCACTTCTGTTCTCCGTTCTAAACATCTGGGGGTTTCTTTAATATACATTTGCACTGGGTGCTGGCATAACCATGGAGTAATTCTGGTGGGGTAGGACCTCGGGGGGTCTCCAGTCCAATCTCCAGCTCAGGGCAGGGCGGCTTGGCCTCCACCAGCTCGCTCAGGGCTCTGGCCCGGCCACGCTTTAAAAGGGGGGTCTCCAGTCCAATCTCCAGCTCAGGGCAGGGCAGCTTGGCCTCCACCAGCTCGCTCAGGGCTCTGGCCAGCCACGTCTTGAAAATGTCCAGGGATGGAGAAGGCACAACCTCTCCAGGCCCCTGCTCCACCGCTGGACTGTCCTCATGGGGAGAAAGCTTTCCCTTATGTCCCCTTTTCCCTTCTACCACTCAACTTGTGCCCGTTGTTTCTCGTTGTCCTACTTGCTTCAAGAAGGCCAACACCATCCTGGCTTGGACCAGCAATGGGGTGGCCAGCAGGACTGGGGCAGGGATCGGGCCCCTGGACTGGGCACTGGTGAGGCTGCACCTCGAGTGCTGTGCTCAGCTCTGGGCCCCTCACTCCAAGCAGGACATGGAGGGGCTGGAGCGTGTCCAGAGCAGGGCAGCCAGGCTGGGCAGGGGCTGGAGAACAAGTCCCATGAGGAGCGGCTGAGGGAGCTGGGGCTGCTCAGGCTGGAGAAGAGGAGGCTGAGGGGGGACCTCATCGGTGGTTGTGGCACTTCAGGACATGGTTTAGCAGGCATGGGGGTGTTGGGGTGACGGTTGGACTTGGTGATCTTAGAGGGCTTTTCCAACCTTAATGATTCTGTGACTCCATGAGGGTGACCGAGCACTGCCACAGGGTGCCCAGAGCAGCTGTGGAGTCTCCCTCCTCAGGGATATCCAGAAGCTGTCTGGACATGGTCCTGGGCAACTGGCTCTGGGTGACCCCACCTGAGCAGGGGTTGTGCTGGAGGAACCTCAGAGCTCCCTTCCAACCCCAAGTGGGCTGGGACTCCGGGATTCTCCGAATCCTGATGGCACTGGGATGGCCACTCAAGCTGGGTAAGGATGAGACGAAGGTGAGTGGATTGGAGAGCGAAGAACCGGAGTAGTGCCCGCCTCTTCCAGCGACGGGTGAGAAACCACCCATCTTCCTGGATCAGGTTTATAAATCTCAGAGTCTCGGTGTGGTGGGTTTTTCCATCCGCACACACTCACTGTAACAAAGGGACTTTCTCCCATGACTGTTTCACCTTTCCAGCAGGACGAGCACTGACACCTCTCTGCCAATTTGGGTTCAGGTAGCACAAACCTCTAACTCGGGATTTTTCCAAAGGATCGTAAGGAACGCAGCCATCCGTCACTCACTGCACTGGGCGGTGACGGCACGCCCACGTACACCGTATTATTCAGCTGTATTTTACAGTTTTAACTAAATCCTGATCCTTGTTTCTGAAAGGACGTGATACTGCTTGTCAGTGTTGCGGCAGCACGGTGTTCCAGGCTCACTTAGAAACCTTCTCTTTTCCCTCCAGTAATATTATAATTACTCGGTGCTTAAGACAGGAGGGCTGAATCCAGCCAGCTGTCTTCTCCAGTGCACGCGAGCACGTAACGTGGGTCGCAGACATAATTAAAAATATGAAAGCTTTCTTTCATTCTTGTTCCCCTCAACAGTTTTTGTTTTCCCTGCTACTCCACTCACAGCACGACTGTCTCCTCCCCGCTATCTGTATTTGCTCATTCCATCTCCTTTTTACAACTCTTCCTGACCACGGTGGCAACCACGTTTAGGAAGAGGTGGGAGATGTGATATTTGGTCAAAATGGCAGAATTCCACTGGAACTAAAATTTAAGCACAGGGTTAGGCGTGCAACATTCCTAATTGGCCCCAAAGCCAGGGCGAGCCTTCGGCAGGTTCGTCAGAACACTCCAACGTTACGGTGTGCTCTACAACACCTTTTTCCTGGAAGGCAACCAGTTCACTGTGCTACGCCTCGATGCTCTGCTGCGGGACAGAAGAGTTCGCTGAGGGAGGAGAGCTGTTGCCATGGAAGCTGACGACCATCAGAAACGGCCTTGGCCCTGCAGAGAGCTGCAGACCTGCTAAGTCCAAGCAGGTTTGCTGGGCAGACATCAGGGCCTCCACGGGGATCCCCGTTTCTCTTTCAGGGTTTCTGATTGTCTTCCCAAAAGTAATGAGACCAACAGTGAAACTGAGACCACTGTCTGAATTTTAACTTCTTCATCAACGACCTGGATGAAGAGTCAGAGCGTACCCTCGGCCGGTTTGCTGATGGCACCAAACTGGGAGGAGTGGTGGATACCCCGGCAGGCTGTGCTGCCATCC